AAGCAGAAAGAAGACTCAGGGAACTCACTGCCATATTGTTTCTCAGATCTTGTGGTTGTTAGCCTATCTGCGTTCCTCTCTCCACCTTTCAGAATCGTATGTTCATTTTACATGTAATATCCAAGTATTATTTAGCTGTACTTAGTTGGGAGGAATAGGGAAAAGTAGAACTATGCCATCTTTTCAAAAGCAAACATCCCTGATTCATTGTTTTTAATTCATAGACTACCTCTGAAAGTTAAATATCTCTGAGTCTTCTGCCCATGATGCTGTTTATCCTCCTTCCAAGAATGGAAATATTCTTGCTGGAAGGGAAACTAGGCAGCTGGAGGACATAGGTGAGAAGAATACGTTTCATTGCATACAAGTTTATGCCTTTAGAATATGAAGCTATTTGAAAAAAACTAACTAATTTTTAAAGAAGAAGATGGACTTCCAATTTGGTAGCAATATTGTGGCAACTTCTTTCAGAATTGTGCCACTTCTTTCCTGGACCACACAGAGCCACAAGGAGAATGAAACAAATGCAAGCACAAGCAATATGTTGAGCTAAACAATAAGAAGAAAATCTACAAACTACAAAAGTGTGGCCCACAGTACCTGAAACCAGCAGGACTGGCAGTGGAAGCTATAACATTATGGTGGGAAAGAATAAGGAATGTACAGGGGGTTCAATAACGGAAAAGCTCAGAAATATACACTCTGAGATAGGAGAAGGCAATATACAGAGTGTGGATCACTGTGAGATGGGCTAAGATAAATAGGCCATGGATATTGAGGGAGGTAACAAAAGATGACACAGAAGGTGTTCAGAAGGTTCCAGAAGGACCATCTTCTAAAAGTGCTGAGAAGACAAGCATTGTTTCTCTTAGAAGCAGCAGCTATTGAAGAAAGGCAGTGAGAGCTCAAGCCTGAAAGATTTTGATCTTGAAGGCAGAGGAGCCATGCATGCAGAGGCACTATATTTTCACTGTAGCAAAAGAGTATAGGAAACTTAAGCCAAGAAACCTGGAAAGCAACAGCCCCAACCAAAACTTCCTGCTGACAGCTGGTCCAAGACAACACAACTCCTTAAGATATGGTTAAACAAAATGGAAAACTTCAGCACTATAAGAAAAATTCTTAAAAATAAAAAAGAGAGAGAAGCAGAAGTTCCTTACAAATGAAGAAACTCTCAAAAATATTTGCTCAAGAGTACATAAAACCTGTAATGCAAAATTATTTTTATGAAATTAAAAAATTAGGGGGCCAGCCCCATGGTCTAGTGATTAAGTTCAGTGCATGCTGCTTCGGTGGCCCAGGTTCAGTTCCCAGCAGTGGACCTACACCACTTGTTGGCAGCCATGCTGTGGCGGGAACCCACATACAAAATAGAGGAAGCCTGGCACAGATGTTAGCTCAGGGTGACTCTTCCTCAGCAAAAACAAAAGAAAAAAAATTAATGTAATTATTGCAGCTGCAAAGGAAATAAACAAAGCAGAAATATAAGAAACCATGGAAGAAATAGTGAGACAATAGAAGAAAATTAGGAAATAAAAGAATTCAGCAAAGAAAGAGATGATAAAGACATTTCTGAATAAAAGACAAGAATTACAAGAAGGACAAGGGAGACCAAGCCACAAAACACAGAGAGTCTACAGAAAGGAAAGTATAGAAATGTGAAAAATAAAAAACATGAAATACAAATAAATATGTGAAAAGAATTGCAGGGGAAATGACAGCTGTAGAAGACAGGCAAAAGAGATTAAACCCATGCATAACTGGACCTCTTTCCCAAACTTCACGTTCATTTATCCATAAACTGCTTAACTCAACATCTCCACTTGGATGTTGACATCTCAAACTCCTACATATCTGAAACTGATCTTCCCTTCCAATTTCTTCTTCTCGCAATCTTGACCATCTCACTTGCTGGCAACTCCACTTTCTAGTTTCTCAAGCCAAACTTCTGGGAGCCACCTTTGACCCTTTTCATTCTTTTCTATGCCACATTCAATCCACCAGTAAGTCTTGTTGCTTCCACCTTCATACTATATCCAAGGATTTCTCAAACCGCCACTGCTACCACGATGGTCCAAGCCACCATGATCTCAAGCTTGAATTATTGCAGTAACATTCATATTATCTTCTTTCTTTTACCGTTATGCTCCTGTTTTTAACAGAACAGCCAAAGTGACTCTTTAAAATTTAAATCAGAGCACATTGCTTCTCTGCTTAAAACACTCAAAAGTTTTCCTGTCTCATTCTAAATTACAAGTGCATTTACACTTTGATTCTGATAATTTTCTGTACAGATATACTTGCACACATATAAATGACATTTGTTGCTACATTATTGATAATAGCAAACTACAGAAAACAAACCATCTCAATTATTAAGCGACTGTTTCAGTGAACTATGATCCAGGGGATACTTTGCAGCTTTTAAAACAAATGCAGATGCTTCTGTTTCTGTGTAGGATGAGGTAGAACCAGGTGATCTAAGGATCTCACTAGCCACTAGGAAAAGATGAATAGCTTACAAAGATCATATTTTTAAAGGCATCTGAGAGTTGGGGAAATAATCAAGACTAACTGAACTAAAATTCCACAGACAGAGAACTGCACGGAGGTAAAGAGATAATGAGTTACTATTTTTACCTGGCGGCATCTGTCAATTCTGGATTTGGATTGAAGGTCAGGACTGAAAGATCACCTTCAATAAAACAGCTAATAACACAACTTAATGGTGAAATTTTGAATACTTTTCCACTCATATTAGGAAAAAGACAAGCATGTCTTCTCTCACCACGTCTACTCAACAATATAGTAGATGTCGTACTGATTGTAATAACACAAGGGACAAGAATGAGAAAAAAAGAAATTAAATATATTTGTTTCAGGACATATTGTTTGCGTATAAAAATCTTAAGGAAGGTACAAAATAACTACTGGAACTAATAAGTGAATTTAGCAAGGTCGTAGGATACAAAGTTAACAGACAAAAAAACAACTGTATTTTTACGTGCTAGCAGGATACAAGTGGAGAACAATGTGAAAACAATTTTATCTACAATAGCTCAAAAATATAAAAAACTGAGTCAGCCTTGATGGCCTAGTTGTTCAAGTTCGGCACATTCTGCTTCAGCGGCCCAGGTTCGGTTCCCGGGTACAGAATAACACCACTCATCTGTCAGGCAGCAGCTCACATAGAAGAACTAGAAGCACTCACAACTAAAATATACAACTATGTTATGTACTGGGGCTTTGGGGAGAAAAATAAAGAGAGAGAGGAAGACTGGCAACAGATGTTAGCTCAGAGACAATCTCTAAGAAAAAAATATATGTATATAAAATACTTGAGAAATAATTAACAATCAGGCAAGACTTCATCACAAAAAAACTACAGAATATTTCTGAAAGAAATTATATAGCTAAATAAATGGAGAGATATACAGCATTCATAGATTAGAAGACTTAATATTATTAAAAAGTCAATTCTCTTTCAAGTTTTCTGAGTTAAACTTCCAATCATAATTCCAGCAGTCTTTATTATAAATATTGACAGGCCAATTCTAAAATTTATATTAAAATGCAAATAATCTTGAATGCCAAGTCAATTACAAAAGAAAATATAAAGAACTTTTACTACCTGATTTAAAGACTTACTATATAAAAACTATAGTATTTAAGACAGTGTAGTATTAACAAAGGAGTGGGCATATAAATCAATGGAATAGTATAGAAAGGCCAGAAATAGATCTACACACATATGGTCAAATAATTTTTGAAAAGCTGCCAATACAATTCAATGAGAAAAGGAAAGTCCTTAAAGAAATGATACTGGATCAACTGGACTTCCAACTAGAGAAAAAAACGACCCTCACCCCTTACTTTCACCATACAAAAAATTTAACTCAAAGTGGATCATACACCTAAATGTAAAACGCAAAACTATACACCTTTTATAAGAAAACAGAATAATCTTTGTGACCTTGTTTGACCTTCTGAGACAAGCTTGTAAAAACCTTCCTTAAAATTTATCAAAACATATGCCTAAGGAAGGCTATGGGAGACAAAAGAGCATTTCTTTTAAAGGTATTTTTTCATCTTTAAGATTAGCAAGAATTATGGTACTTGGTGTGAGCCAGAATACAAGGAGACTGGCAATCCCCTCCACTCTAAGGAAAAGAAAAAGTGTGTATTGTTACACCCGTTTGCAAAAGTAACACAATAATATAAACAATTTCAATGTTCGTGTCCTTCTACTGAGCAATTCCACTTTTAGGAATTTATTCCGAGGAAACAATCAGATATGTGCAAAAAGCACAACCACACAATACACACACACACACACACACACGAGACTGTTCATCAAAAGATTGTTTGAAATAAGGGAAAAAAGTTGGCAGTAACCTTTATACTATTTTTGAAAGATATACTTTTGAAAGATATATTTGAAACCTATTTTAAGGACAAAAACATCTACTACAACGATACTAATTTCCTTAGTGTGCAGTGAAATTGGATCTCATCATCATCAAATAATAAAAATAGCTGAAAATACAGTGCCAGCTAAATTTGTCAAGACCAAGTTTGCAAGCAATTTTTACAATAGCCTGGTGTAAACTTCGATTTGGATACTAATTTATTACGCGTTTTCATACACTGAAATTAATTGTATTACACTTGTCTTTGCCAATTATTGGAAGTATTTAGTTAATATGTATACCCAGGATTTTTTAAATAATGATGAAGTAACTAGCACTTATAAATTAATCTCTATTTCCAAAAAGGCAGCTTACAAGCTGCATTGTATTTCATAATGACAAAAATCTATTTATTTCGAAAAACCTTGCATAAAACATAGTCGTTGTTAGTTGAGGAATTAATGATTAGATCGTTTAAGTGTGCACAGCAGGTATGTTCCCCGTGTTGTAACATTGCACTTGAAGGCCAAAAAATGGAAATAAAAAAGAAAACATTACTCCACCGGAAACCCCACCTGTAAGGCCACATACCTTGATTCTTGCTTTTTCTATAAATTCTAGAGGGGCTTTCCCAAACTCAAATCCAGCTCCAAACCAAGGAATCCAGCCCCCTTCGCACGGAGGTCCACGCAAGTTCTTCCACTGAAGGAATAACAAAAGAGCAACGCACCCAAGGATTATAATCACCGCCGGGTAAATTAATTCCATGTTTTTGTCTAGCACCTTCCAGAATCAGGGACGGGAAAAGTCCCGCTGCCGTGGTACTTGTTCCTTCCCTCTGGGATAGAGCACCCACCGGACCTCCCAATCTTTCTGCTGCAAGTTCCGCAGCTTGTTCGCTTTCTTAACTGTAGCCTCCTTTCCCCGCCCCAACGTTTAGGTGACTTTTGCTTCATCGCTCCCTCCCACCTCCACTTCTCTTCCAACTCCGGGCCCCTCCCGACGGACTGCAGGGGGCGGGAAGGCGCCAGCTAGGGTGCGGAGAGGTGGAGGAGGCAGACCACGCGCTGTTGCCATGGAGACCGGGGGTGGTGGCGCGGTGGGCGCCCGGCTCGCGGCCAATCAGAGAATGTGGCCCGGAAGGCGCGGAGTCCGGCGGACTACATTTCCCAGAAGCCTCGTGGGCTTCGCGTTGTTTTTTTCCTGCTCTCAGGCCGCTGGACCACTCAAGCCTGCGACTGCTAGGGAGTCTGCGTGTTCGCCCGGCCCGCCTGGCAGAGCCGAACGAGGGAGATGGTCCCCGCCCCGCCACTCGCCGCTTGAGGAGGGGCCGCGCTGGCAGGGTGGCAGGCCAGCCGCGGCGCGGGGCGCCGGCCAGAAGGGGTGCATTGTCGTCCTGTCCTGCTGCTGAATGTCGGTTCCCGAGGATGAGGAGAGGCTTTTGCCGCTCGCCCAGAGATGGCCCCGAGCGAGCAAGTTCCTGCTGTCGGGCTGCGCGGCTACGGTGGCGGAGCTAGGTACCCGGCCGCCCACGCCTGGGCCTCCTGCGAGTCGTCGAGGCGCCGCGCTGGGGCTTGCAGGGCGGGGAGCCCGGGGGGCGGGTGGCGGCGGCTTCGTTCCCGGGTGTATGCAGCTCGCGAGGCTGCGCCCTCTTCTCCCACACCTGCCTGGCACGGAGATGTGGCGTGTAGGGGCAAGGCCAGCTTTGTGAGGAGGAGGGATTGAGGTCACTAAGGTCTCTTCCTTCCAATTTCATCTTCTTCAGAGGTGTGCTTTTGTGCCTGAATGTGGACTTTTAGAACCTTCATGAGCTGTCATTCCTCTATAGGAATCATTTTTCCTTTCGTGAGGATGACCTTTTTAAAAACAATCCACTTTTCATCCTTATAATGATATAATCCAGATAATCTCTGTGATTTATATTCTTACACAGCTTCACTGTATCATTTTTGGGGGGGTCCAAATTGTGGACCCAACTTGTGGGACTTAAGCTGTTAACCTATCACTTATTGAGCATCTACTCAACATCTGCCACTTGACCTCTTGGAGCTTAACTCATCTATATTGTGTTTACTTTGCAGGATTCTGAGAGGTCCTTAATCTATAAATGCTGAATCCAAGGCAGGGCACCCACTAATTGTGACATTATTATAATTACTACAATGCTAAGGCCTGTGGAGATACAGTTAAATAGACCCAGCCCTGACCTTCTTACAGGCTGCTGAGGAGACATGCAGAGATAGACAATTACATTGTGCTCCTTATTATAATGAAGGTATTATTAAGTGTCATAAGAGCATAGAGGACGGACAATTACATGTGCCTAAGCAAGTCAGAGAAAACTTAAGAGGCCAGCTAGAGCAGAATTATGATGTTCTTCCATGAGCTGGAGGTGTTTCTTCCGAGGATTTTGCCTGTGTGTTCCTGTGAAGCCTTCACTGTGCATTTTAAGATTGCCCTTTCATTTTCTTGCCCAAAAAAAAAAAAACAAAAAAAGCAGCAGCTCCGATGTGTAATCATCTGTAAATGTGAGTTTGTCCTGTTCTAAAGCGAGTTTATTTTGTATTTCCAGTGGAGCCAGCGCATGATCTGTTTTGTCCTTTGTGCACCCCCACTCTGGCCTTTTGGACATTCTTTTTTTCTCTCTCCTCCCAAAGCTGAGGAAGAATTGTTATTCTTTGTTTTTACTGAAATATAATTCATCAACTTTTTAAAAAATTTAAAAGATTGCTGAATGATTAGATATATTTCCAGTTTTTGTTTTTGTTTGTTTTAACCTGTTTCCCCGTGTGACCAGTGGCTTTGGTCGAGGACCCTTCCTTCTGTTCACGTTTCATGGAGAATTGTGTGGGGGCTGGAAATGGGAGGCAGAGGAATCAAAATATGAGATGGTTTTGAGTACAAAACAATTTAGGATCAGAACCTGAAGCATTAAGTAACCAGCAAGAAAACCAAAGTTATTTTGAGAGGCATAACCTATGCTAATATAGAGGCTCCTATATCTTAAGACTTGCAGGTTGCATATGTCGATAAAGCAGTGCTTGAATTCTCTATATGCAAACTACTTCTGTTTTAGGGAGCTATTAGCAAGATATTAATTCTTCCAAAGACCAGTGGTAAGATTTAATAGTCTCTTCCCCCCACTCTGTTTTCTCTTGGAAAAGGTATAGCTATGGTTTTGTATCAGGTGGTGGTCATTGAAAAGACTTATGTAATGTCAATAATCACGAGCTTATCTGAATTTGGTTATTTCAGTTATGCAGGACATTGTGTGTATAAAGTTATGAGGTTGAACTTCCTTATGTGGGCCAGTTAGCTTCACTCTGTTTCAAGGTAAAAGATCTATCTCTAATTCAAAATTTAATTATTAGAAAAAAATTTTTCAAGTACAGTTGGTACTTGTAAGGAGGCCATGTATAAATCTTATCAGTGGTGGAAAAAGAACTCAATATTTGCCTTAATTGAAAGAATATTAAGTGTGCTACTCTTGTATATAAAAGATATTATAAACTCCATATTTCATCTTGTATATCTCAAACATCAGGTCAGTGATTCATGTGCATGTGACTATCACTCAGGAAATTATAGAATTCAGCTTTATCTGGCATTTATTAAGAACCTACCATAAGTAGTACCATATTCTAAAAGTCACACTGGATCTTAATCATGGTTGCAGTCAAGAGGACATCACAGAATATGGATACCTGAAATTATTCCCATTGGAAAGCAAAAATTAAGGACTAAATTAAATTTTAGACTGAAATTTGTGAATAAAAAAAACTCTAAGGCTTGTCACTTTTGTTTTCATGGTGATCTCGGGTGCTCTGGGACAGTGATTCTTAAATTTGGGAGTGCAGAAGAATCAACTGATTTCTAAACCCACATCAACCTGTTGAGAATCCATAGGTATGGGGCTAGGAAATCTGTAATTTTTAACAATCTCCCAAGCTGATTTTGATGTGTTCTAAAATTTGAGAACTACTGATCTTGTGGTGACTAAAATATTAGTCCTATGCTTTTAGAATTTTAGAATTTTTGTTTGTTTCTCTGAATGTTGTCGGTTTCCTCCTCGTTTTTTGTTTGTTAGCAACCTTTCCTCTCGATCTTACAAAAACTCGACTCCAAATGCAAGGAGAAGCTGCCCTTGCTCGGTTGGGAGACAGTGCAAGAGAATCTGCTCCCTATAGGGGCATGGTGCGCACAGCCCTAGGGATTGTCCAAGAGGAAGGCTTTCTAAAGCTTTGGCAAGGAGTGACACCCGCCATTTACAGACACATAGGTATTTATCTTTATTCTAGCTGGTAAGTTTGTTATGAGTTCTGTGTTTGTCTCCTCTGCTTTTCTGTTTAGCTGTATCCAAAAACCAATTAGTTTTTTCTATGAATGTGATAAATATATAGTTTCTTAAGAAGAAAATTAACTACCAATTGTTTTAAGGAAGTATTGCCTTAAATTTTTAGAAATGCATACAGAAGTATTTAGCAATAAACTGTCATGATGTCTGTAATGCACTTTAAAATAATTAAGCAAAAAAAAAATGAAGCAAATATGGCAAAAATCTTAGCAATTGATAAATCTCAGTGATAAATATAGGAGTTATATTATTTTCTCTACTTTTCTGTATGTTTGAAAATTTTCCTAATAAAAAGTTTTTTTTAACTTTAAGAAAGAAAAACATGAATAATTGATATTTTTATCCACTTCAGAAACTTTAAACACAAAATTTAAATTTTTTATGTTCTTTGAAAATTAAAATATATTTGACCACAATGCCATATCTCACCAGTCTCAGTTGCACACGTTAGAGACCAGGCTACTCTGAAAGAGGGCAGGGACGACTGTCTAACCCAAGTCTGTCAAGAGAGGAAATGCAGCGCTGGTGGTTTCTGCCTCTGTTCCTCAGACTCCCTAACTAGCCATGTGGGTCTTTAGTTCCTCTTAAAAGAAAACAGTCGTAACTACACTGTAGCCAATGAGAACACTTTTCTGCTCTGCTTCCAAAGTGGCACTCACAGAGACAGAAGTTGTTGAGTTTTTAGCTTGTGGACAGAACATAAAGTTGTCTTCAAAAGGAAGTAGGGCAGGTGTGGCATTTTTTTCCTTTACATTCACAACGTTTCCTGAAGTACGTAAGGACCCTTGATCAGAAAAGTGCCCAGTGCTAATATTTACTGACTTATTATTTTTAAAGCTTCAGTTCTTCAGATGAGTTAGAGTGTATTCATCAAGAACTATCCAGAAGTGTGCATAAAGACTGTTATTGTTTTGGTACTTTGTATATTTTTGAATATTTAAAATACTTCATCAAACTTCCTGAAATATCAAGAAAAGTTCTCTATATGAATATCATGTACTGATTTTAATGATTTTTATTTTCTATTGTTTTTTTACATTTCTCCCCTGCTTCTCATTATTGTTTTGAGTTTCACTTCTTTTCATTTGTATTTTGTTGACCACCATATATGGTTTTACAGTTAAGATTCATTTCATGTTTGATATTTGACTGAAAAATTACCTTAAAATAATAAATTATCCAATGAAGTTATGCCCGTTTATTGGATGAAAATGCCTGCTATGTACCAAGCTCTCTACTGGGACATATAGAGTAATGAAAACACACAAAACCTGCCTTAAAAAGCCCGTGGTCTGATGGAAAGATGAGCAAGAAAATCAAGTTACTCTCTAATCAATATGATAAGTGCCATATTAGATGTAGCCTGGGTAGTTCTGGGGGAACAGGGGAGAAGCATGGCAGGTACAGTGTCAGTATAGAACACTGGAGGAAAGATCAGAGAGCACTTTCTGGAAAACATGTTCTTTGAGTTGAGTCTTGAAAGACTAGGAGGAGTTAGCAAAGCAAAGAAGAGAGAATCCATTCAAGCAAGATCACACATGTGAGAAGCCTTGAGGCTTATAAAAAAGGCAGGCCACATTTGGAGAAACATCAAGAAGCCCATGTGTCAGAAGCATAGGGCGCATGGGAGAAACACACAGCTAGAGAGACTGACTAGCCAGGTCAGAATGTCCTCTTATTTTATTAAACATATAACTGAATTCACCTTTTTGATAATCTGTTTTATACAGTGTACTCTGGAGGTCGAATGGTCACATACGAACATCTCCGTGAAGTTGTGTTTGGCAAAACTGAAGATAAGCATTATCCCCTTTGGTAAGTTTTGTTTTGAAAATAATATACTATTGCCCCTAATTCTTTAATGTTTATCCATTAGATTTGTATAAAATAATAAATAATTGCAATATAAATCTAAATAATTGAGCAATTTCTGCACATTTTATACAAACATACATGTACATATGTATATAAAATTGTTTATATATTATTCAATATTTTAATATTAAAAGAATTCTTACAGGACACCTTCTTTATTCCTCTTTCTACTCAGAAAGCTTGGGCTTTAGAATCAGAAGAAATGGGCTTCAATTCCTGCTCTACTACTATGCAATCTGGTTAAACTACTTCACCTTTTTTTGTGTGTGTGTGAGGAGATCAGCCCTGTGCTAACATCTGCCAATCCTCCTTTTTTTTTTTTTTTTTTTTGCTGAGGAAGACTGGCCCTGGGCAAACATCTGTGCCCATCTTCCACTACTTTATATGGGACGCCGCCACAGCATGGCTTGCCAAGTGGTGTGTCAGTGTGTGCCTGGGATCTGAACCGGCGTACCCTGGGCTGCCGCAGCGGAGCACACTCACTTAACCACTTGCACCACTGGGCCGGCCCCTACTTCACCTTTTTTTAATCTTCGGTTTTCTTAGCTACTCTATATCTACCATCAGGCTTTTGTTTTTGTATGATTAGATGAGATGATGATTGTAAATGCATATCACTTCTAACATTTATAACAGAAACAGAGAAAAATAGGTTATTATAAATAATACACATAGAACGCCTATAAATCAAAAAATATATACAGAACACAAAGGAATAATGGGGAAAGGATGCCAATAGGCAATTCACAAAAGAAGAAATATAAATGTTAATTAAACATGTAAAAGTGTTCAACCTTACCAGTAATCAGGGAAATTAATTAAAACTATCTTTTAGCCATTAAACTGTTAATGAGAATATAAGTTACTATAGCCGTTTTGGAGCATAAAGTACCTGTTAAAATTTTTTAATGTGTAATCTTTTGACCCAGCAACCCTTCCTTTATGATTATAATCATTCACAAATACTTGTACCTGTGCATAAAGACACACACACACACACAAAGATATTGACTGTAGCAGCGTTGTTAGTAGCAAAAATTTTTTTTAATTTAAATATCAATTTGGAAGTGGTTAGATAAATTATGATATATTTATGCAGGGAAACATAACACAGCTTTGAAAGAATAAGGTAGGTTTTATATGACTAACATATAAAGATGTCTATAGTATCTTTTCTTGGCTAAAAGAAATCCAAGTCACAACTATGAGAAAAGGGCAATAGGCAGAATTCACATTCCAGGCAAAGTGTCTTGGCCCTGTGTTTGAAAAACTGTAATGTACTAAGCTATACTAATTGCTTTCCTGGAGTTAGAGATGGAATAGATTAATAGTCCTTGCATTTTATAATTCCCTCCAGAAGGGAAAGGTACAGGTAAGGAGTTCAAAGGAAGTATTCACTATGAAGTCAGCTCTCAGGGTGGACTGGCTTGATGTCCTTTGAGCTAGTCAGAACCAGCCATTCAGTCAGTGGGTATTTATTGAATGATTATGGCATGCCCGTCCCATACTTAATACTGAGGCTGTAGTAATGAAAAAGACATAGTCCCTGCCATCACTGAGCTCACAGTAATAGAGACAGATGCCTAAACAATTAGAATTATTATGTAACAGTCACAGGAAGTAGTGGTTATGAGGTTCTCAGAGAGAAAAAACAATGATAATGTACTGTGCTTGTCATTGTGAGGAGAAACAGACACACCCTCCTAGGTTGTCAGGGGGAATGTAAACTGATACAAGTGCTGTGGAAAGCAATTTGGCAGGGTCTATCAATGTCTTGTAAATCTTCAGATTTCTTCGTGAAAAGTTATGCTGGTTATATAAATTATGGTGTATCCATAAAATGGAATGCTATGAAACTATTTTTAAAAATGAGGCAGCTCCAATGAACTGACTGGGATAACCTTTAAGATAGACTATTCGGAAAAAATCGAAGTGCAAAACTGTATACAACCTGGCATTCCACATTTGCACTTTTAAAAAGGAATATTTATACAGATATGTTGGTGTGTGCACAAACTATCAATTGTAACTTAGTGTTTAAGACTATAGGCCCTGCACTCACACTCCTGGTTACACCTTGGCTGCTGTACCACTCACTAGTTGTGTGACTTGAGCTGTCATTTACCTGCTTTATGCCTCCGTTTCCTCATCTGTAAAGAGGAAATAACAGGAGTACTAATGTTATAGGGTTGATGTGAGAATAAAATGATATTTTTAAAAAATGCTTAAAAGAGCGCCTGACATAAATTCAGTGAGTGCATTATTATCATCTCTGGAAGGCATGAGAAACTAGTCACTGTGGTTGCTTCGGAGGAGGGGAACTAGGGACCCTTTTTTACTCTATACCCATTTGTACCTCTTCAAATATTGTTTTAGAGTAAAAGGAGAGAAAATTCCCCTTTTCCCCCAAAGTTGTGACTATGGCAATAATCTAGGTAAGAGATGATTGGAGCCTGGCCTGAGACAAGAGCGGCTGGAAGGGCGAGAAGAGGATGGATTCAAACCATGTTTAAGTATAATAGTCTCAACCTGATCGCTCTTGGCTCTGGGAGGTGAGGAGAAGGAAGAGTCTAGGGACAGAAAGAGTTTCTTCCAAGAGAGGAAAGTTTTCAAACCCCCTTCACTTGGAAAACTACTAAAATAGTAGTTCATAAAATTTTACTTACCAACCTTTGTCTGTTAGACTGATTACATCTATGCTGTTTTTATTCCCATGTGGTCAGAATTAAAGTGCAATTAAATTACCAGTTCAGATGTTGATGTCTTTGAAGCTACTGCCCTTTGTTTGAATTTCAGGCCATGTAAGCCCCTGAAATTTCAGAGTTGCATTTCAACTCCTTGTGGTCCTTTAACCCTCCCATCAGTAAGGAGGCAAACCATCTACTTTCCTCTCTGATTTGTTTGGTCTGTCCTTTTCTTCACTTTGTCCTAAATCTCTTATGCAGGGCTGTACCAGCTCGGTATTGTTCACTACAAAATTTGTGAAACTAATGGTAACCTTTAAAAAGTGTATCTCCTTTTATAATTAGGAAATCAGTGATTGGAGGGATGATGGCTGGTGTTGTTGGCCAATTTTTAGCCAACCCAACAGACCTAGTAAAGGTTCAGATGCAAATGGAAGGAAAAAGGAAACTTGAAGGAAAACCGCTGCGGTAAGATCTCCAGTTAACTGAGACCTTTCCTTTCCCCTTTGCCACCACCATATTTTGAACATTTACCTAGTGACTTAAGCATTTTTGTAATCCAAAATTCACTAAAGACATTAATTCTGACTTTTAATCCAGAAGTTATATTCATTAAGAGGAGAGCTGAGATAGCTCTTTTCTTTGCATGATAAGGTATACGTGTTCTCTGCCAGGTGAATTATACGTGTGCATAGCTCTGCTGCTTTTCCCAGCCAAGGCAGCTAGACTTGTCTCCCACTGCAGCTTGATATAAAGAGTCTGATCATTAAAATTTGCCCTGGTGTGAATCCCAATTTTGCCATTGTGGCTTGGTGTTGTGGAAGTCACTTAACATTTCTAGTCTCTGTTTCTTCATCTTTCAAAGGGGCCATTCAAAAGGTGTGCATGACAGTTAGACTGCTTGGCTCATAAGGTGCCAAAAAGCTTGGTTTCTTTCCGTTTCTCCTTGAAAGAAGGGAAATAGCAAGGCTGACCTTGCAAATTGTTCTCACTGCCTGTCTAATCCCACTTCTCTTCTTTTTCCCAAGTTGAAGCAAGTTTTTTATTATGACTTTGTAATATAAAAGCCTCCTATTGCATGACCCTATATTATCAAAGTCTGCCTTTCTTCAAAGGGCTTCATGTTCAACAATTTATTAAAATACCACTTAGCCAGTTTCCCCTGGGAAAGGGGCAAAATCTTGCCAATAGATAGACCTCTCCCAGGAAAGAGGAAAACTACAGGATGCTTTGAGCTGAGTACAAAGGGGTCTGCCCCTCTGAACACTGCAGGTATGCTGCTGGCCAGAGGTGAAGGAGGGTTTGGGGCCTCCTTTGGGAGTTTACCACTGACCACTGCTCTTCGCTCTGTTGCTCCTCTGGGTGACTCACTGGAAAATGAGGTTGGGCTGTGGCAGTCAGGGCTCCCCTTCAGCCTTGAAACAGGGAGAGAATATGAATGACGGGAGAAAAGGGTATCACTCTGTCTAACCAAGTAGTTTACAGAATCCCAGGGTCCATTTTGTCATCTGTAACAACTTCTAATTACTGAGTAGCAGGGAGAAGTGATGTTGCCTTATATAAATATATATAAAATATATATAATTTTATTTATTTATAAAATATATATAAATATAAAAAGTTTGGCATTTAATAAGTGCACAATAAATTTTAGCTACTGTGACCATCTTTTGTGAACATAACTTCCCATGTGGCATAATAGTAATCATGCATGCCCAATAAATATCTCATATTATCTTTTTGGTGAGACCGAGAGAGTGTAATGCCTGAGTAAAAGCTACACAGCTAGTGAGTGGTAAAGATGGCATCTGACTCCAGGTATTTCTGACTATATAAAACCCAGACTTTTATTTTATACCAGAGGTTTCCAGATTTGGTTCATGGCTCAGCACCATTTTTTATCTGTGACAGAAAAATAAGGATAAGATAGTAAATTTTCTGAAGCCAAAAGTGTTCAGTTTTAAGAACTCCTATTATGAGATTGTCCTTCCTGCCTTTGGGTCTAAAAATATTTCTTTTATGAGATTATGTGAGTATCAGTGTTTTTTAATGTTGTTATTTGGTGAAATTACAAAATTTGCCAGTCTCCCACAATACTAATAAAATGAACTCGGTAATCTGATGACCATTGTTCCCTTCTATAATTAATATGTGCACTGATGATATAAAATGTCAAGAAAGGAGTTTTAATCTGTTCAGTAACCCGGGAAGATAAAAAGAGGATGACACAATTTATAAAGATTTCCATAAAAAATGTTTAAATCACATGTTGGCCTTTTTTCTAAAGGATTATTAAACTTATCTGGAAATTAGACTTATGTGGTTTTGCTTTAATTAATAACAATTCTGGATAAAGAAGATGTTATTTTACTTCAAATCATAACAGCTATATAGGTGACCCTTATCCAATTGCATTCCATACACAGGAATGCATAGAGTTTTCACATTTCATTATTATTTTCCTTAGATTTCGTGGTGTGCATCATGCATTTGCAAAAATCTTAGCTGAAGGAGGAGTACGTGGGCTTTGGGCAGGCTGGGTACCCAATATACAAAGAGCGGCGCTGGTGAATATGGGAGGTAATGGAAACTTTATTGAGTTCTGAGAGGTCCTAATTGCCTTAATCATAATTATAAGCCTTATATCAGGGAAAATGAACATTTTTATTATTTTTAACAATATATACTGGTAAGTCTTCCTTTATGTTGTAATATCATAATTGAATCTTTTCCCTAGAGCATTTTCACTTTATTCTATGGTGATGTGTGAAAAAGATTTCTTCAAACAAATTACGGCAATCAGGACATAAAACCAAACTATTTCTAAAGTCTCCTCTCCAGGCCGCACGTTCCTCTGAGATTCAAACTGGTCTATGTAACCATGCGATAGTCATTATATCCGAATTGTCCAAATCTTTCCCCCCAATAATCCTGCTCCTATTGCTATATAAGCCACCTTGTACAGCCCAGTACCCCAGGCTAGAAACCTGAATGTTTCCTTAACTCATCCTATCCCGCACTTACCGCATTCAGTCACTGATTTCTTCTGTCTTCTATTTCTTAAGTTTCCCCCTCCAGTACCTACTATCTTAGTATCCTTAAAATGACCATTTGTATATTACTAACCATCAAGACCTCCCAACTAAAGCACTGCCACAGCCCCCTAACTGGTCTCCTCCTCTGTCCTCAAATTTGTACCCAGTATCCAGAGTGATTTATCTAAAACACAGATCTGAACATGTTGTTGGTATCCTTAAAACCCTTCACTGGCTTCTCATCACTTACAGAATAAAGTGGAAATTTCCTAACATAACATAGAAGGTCTGCATAATCCAACCTGGGCCTTCAGGGAAGTGAACACTCCATTGATTCTGGAGCATAGTGAAGCAGAAAGGAGTAAAGAGGTTCCACTGCCTGCACATACCCAATCGTTCTTCACCTCTGTACACTCTGTCCTCTTCCCTCTTCTTCTGTTTAGTTTTCTTCTGCAGATCTTTGAATACTCAGCTAAGGTGGTCTTCTCCATCAGTGTGTTTTTCCTGAACCTCCCACAACCACCCCTCCCTAGTCTTGTGTTAGATGCCCTTGTATGTGTTTCTGGGGTTCCCTGTGCTTATCTCTGTCCTTGCTTGTACCTCATTTCACTTCCTTCTCCTCCACTGGATTGCGAGCCCCATGAAGGCAAGGACTGTGTTTTATTGTTCTTTATTTTCCCAGCCCCTCATACGTAGTCAATAAACATTTGATGAATGAATTAATGAATGAGAGAATCCTTTCTAAGACTAAAATTATACAATTCTAAGAAACTGATGAATAGCATTTTTGAGGGTTATAGTAATACGTCACTTTAAACATAAAAGGAAGTAAATTTATTTTCTATTTTGCTATTTCAGTCCATCCATGTTTACTGCATCATATTGGCAGATATTTTGGTTGTCAGGAAACCTTTCTGATTCTAGTTTCTCAATTCATTGCTTCAAAATCTATTGCAGCTCAGGTTTTCTTTTCTAAGTTCCAGCTATTTACTCAGCATCTTCATTTGGTTATTTCAAATATATTGCTTTGAATGTGTCCAAACCAAACTCATTTATCAAACCACTTCCTTCTTCATTCTTCCTAGTCTCAGAATATGATATCACCATTTTTTCAGTTGAACAACCCAGAAACCAAGGTATGATTTTGTTCTCTTTCCAGTCACTTACTCTTTATAGCCAGTCAGTCACCAAGTCCAGCCAATTCTATCTCCCAGATATATCTCAAATTTGTCTACTTGTCTTCATCCCTGGAGCCACTCCTTTGTTCAAGTATTATTTACCTCCTTCTACTGGACCACTACAAAACCCTCCTAACTGGTCTCCCCATGTCTACCCCACAGCCGTTTTGTCCCACGATGCCTCTGAAACTGTTCTTATCAAGGTCACCAGTGCCTACCATTTTATTTAAAAAAATTTAAATTAGTCAATTCTCATTTTCACCATCTCCATAAATGGCAGCTCTGTCATTCAGATTGTTCAAACTCAAAACCTTGAAGTCATCTTTGATTCCTTTCTTTCAGTCCATATTCAGTCTGCTGGCTAATCTTGTTGATTCTGCCTTCAAAACATAGCCAGAATCTGGGACCAGCCTGGTGGCATAGTGGTTAAAGTTCGGCATGCTCCGCTTCAATAGCCCAGGTTCACGGGTTCCGATCCCAGGCGCAGACCTACACCACTTGTCAGCCATGCTGTGGCAGTGACCCATATACAAAATAGAGGAAGACTGGCACAGATGTTAGCTCAGGTGTAATCTTCCTCAAGCAAAAAAAAAAAAAAAGAGGAGGATTGGCAATAGATGTTAGCTCAGGGCCAGTCTTCATCAGCAAAAAAAAAAAAAAAAAAACCCATAAGATCCATATCCAGAATCTGACTGGTGCTCCACAGCAACCTTATGCAAGCCATCATCATCTCTCACCAGGATAGCTGCAGTAGTCTCACAGCTCATTTGCCTTGCCTCCCTATAGTCTACTCTAAACAGAACAGCCAGAGTGATCCTTGTAAATAGTAACCAGGCCAGTCACTTCTGCTCAGAAGCCTCCCCTGGCTTTTGTGGTTCTCCATCATCTGGACTCTGCTATTCTCTGACCCTTGCCTGCTCTGCTCTTGTTATAACAGTATTCTGGCTGTTCCTCCAACATACCGAGATGACTTTTGCCTCAGGGTTATACTACATCCTGTTCTTTGGCCTGGGACACTTTCTCTTCAATATCTGCAAGGTTTATTTTCTCAGGCTTGCTTTAGGTCTCGGCTCAAAAGTTACTGAGAGGCCTTCCCTGGTCACCCTTTTTAAAAATCATATACCCCCATCTTTCCACTCTCTGTTACTCTCTCTGCCCTTTCCTTGCCTTATTTGTTTTCAGAGAAGTTACTAACATCTGAAATGCCATGTGGTTTACTTATTTGTTTATTGTCTCATTCTCAACAGAGAATGGGGATTTTGTTCATTTTGTCCATGGCTCTTTCCCCAGTGCCTAGAATAATGCCTACCACATGGTAGGCACTCAAGTATATGGTGAATGATCAAACGTTATCTATCCATTCTTGCCTCTTTACAATTCACTTCCCTATATTTCAGTGTTGGTCATCTTTATAAACTCCAGTATTGTGATATATCACTCCCCTGTTTAAAACTCTTCAGTAGCTCTCCACTGTCATTAGAAAAAAGTGTAAAAAGCTTAATGTAGAAAAATTGTCAGGACCTTTTGTTTATAAGTGACAGCTCAACTCAACCCAACTTAGGCTAAAAAAGGAATTTATCAGCTCAAATACTGAAAAGGCCAGGGGTTGAGCTGACTTTAGGCATGGCTGCATTCAGATGTTCCAGTGATATAACTGAGTGTCTGTCTCTCTCCCTCTTTTCCTCCCCCCTCCATCTGTAGCTCTGCTTTCCCCTGCTTGAGAACAAGAATGGTATCTTTCAGCCTTGTGCACATTCCTGCTCCACGCCTAGCATATTCTTGTCACAAAAGACATTCATTGTCGAATGAATGAATATTTAAGCCTTCTTTTTCTTTCTGTTGCCAGATTTAACCACTTACGATACAGTGAAACACTACTTGGTATTGAATACACCACTTGAGGACAATATCATGACTCATGGTTTATCAAGGTAAGGGATTGTTTAACTCTTTCTATTTTTTTCTGTATCATCTTTTCTTCCATATTTGGCATAAATTCTAACTTTTTGTCTCTCTTTTGATTGGGAATCTAGTGATATCACCCTTAGAGAAAGATGATAGTACATTTATAAAGAGCAACTTTCTTAAAGTTTGTTGCAGTTAAAATGTGGAAGAAAGGGACAGAGTTGTCGAAGGTTTCATACTCAGCCTCCCTAAATATTTGCAACTTGATGGAGCTGTCCCAGGGTCAGATTCTGATGATCTATCTCCAACTCAACTCAGCAGATGTAATTGAGCATCTTTTATGTTAAAGGCACTGCAAGGCCCTGCAGTAGGTACAAACAGTAAACCCAACTCTTTCCCAGGGGGTTTACCAAGTGGGAAAACAAGACAAGTATAAAAACACTGTACAGTAAATGCTAAAAGAAAGTGACTAGTTACTGTAGAGTTCAGAGGAGGGAGAAAAAATAATCACTTGAAGGCCTACAAAGGAGATGGAATTAGATAAGTGTTTTGAAGGGCTGTGGCTCTTGACAGAAAGAGACAGGAAGAAGAGCTCTCAGGAAGGAGCAGTACCTTAATCTCTTTGCAACACAATTTCAAATTATCCATTAGAGAGAGTTACTTCATAGATGTCTAGTGTTCTTAACATTATTGTTTTTATGTAGCTTCTGATCTCATTTCCAAATTCTAGAACGCTTTATGCTATTTAGACAATCCCAAAAGTATATTAATAGTGTAAAATCAATGATATTTGGAAACATATAGATATAGATATAAATGATTCTTAATGTCAGGTTCACCTTAACATTCCTAGAGTAGTTTTTCTCCATTCCTCCTCTTTTAAAATAAGTGTTATCTTCAGTGCTGCTGGGGCAATCTTTTTGTACGTCTTTGCTCACCGTTCTTTCCCATTCTAAACTCTTACCAGGTGTGTTCACAAGCTACACCATACTTTTTCCAGCCAAAAGTCTGGCCTCCTTTTTCACAGAGGAAACTGAGCATTGTAGGCCTCCTTCCACTTTTTACCTCTATCCCTATAAACATATGTATTACATCTGTACCCACCCTTACCTTCTTTCCTCCACTATCTTTGTTCATGCTGTTTGCTCTGCCTGTGAGACTTTCTTCTCCAATTTCTACCCAGTCAAGTCATCTTGTGAGACAGTCTCCTCTGTCAAGATGCCTCTCTAGTCCAGCGTTACAATCTACTCTGGGAACAGGATATTGAGGTCTGTCCAATAGTTCCACAGTGATATTACCTCTGTTTCTTTTTCATTGTCTTTCTACCAAAATGTTCTTTGAAATACCACAGTTCTAACCTAAGATTCACGGATTTCCTGGCAGATGTAAATCTGCCAAATGTACCCTACTCCACCTAACAGATCTGTCTTTTTTTGGAAAAACACAGGATTTCCCATCACTGTATTCCAGCCCTAATCTGAAATAACTGAGTCTTACTGCTCTCTAATTCAGGATTTGAGAAAATGGGATCGTTGGTGTGTGGTTCATTTTTGGTTCATTTTTCAGCCCCACCACTGAATCAGGCTTTAAAATGGGCAGGTGTGAGTGCGTGGCATACAAAGCAGCTCACAAGTTGCTGACCACAGCCTCAAATCTAAGTGAACAGCGCTGTGTGGTCTGGAAGCTCTGGGTGCTGCGGCACAGGGTAAAGTGCATTCTCACGGAGGCTGGAAGGGGGCTGCAGGTGTACAGTCAGAGAGCTTCATATGAGCCATCAACATCTGAGGAAAAAGGAGTTTGACGTGAAGAATAATAACAGAAGTGGTATAGGTACTGAACCGTGCACTTAAAAATAGTTAAAATGGTAAATTGTGTGCTATGAATATTTTACAATTTAAAAAAATGGTATAAGTAAAACAAAGTCCTGGAGCAGAGCAGGAGCAGTGGGAGACTGTGGCCAGGATTGTAGTGAGGCAGGAAGGCAGGTGGCAGGCCCGTTACTAAGGGAAAGCTGAGGAAAGGGGGAGTTGCAGTAATGGTCAGGAAATGATATAGAACAGAAAGACCAGGATTATCCCCTTTTTCCTCCTTTTAAATCATGAGGCTATTAAGAGGTAAAACTGTGCAAAAGGTTAGTTTACATTGTGTGAAGATTATACGTGAGCGTGATTATTTAGCTGATGCTGAAGAGGATCGCTGATTCTGACATAGTGCTGGTGGATTGTTTTAAACTAGACTTGCAGATAGCCATTTGGTTTCCTGGAGAGAACCAAAGACTTGCCCAATCAGTCTCTGTCTATTATCACTTTAGCTGTGTCCTGGGCTTCATTTTGGGGGTATTACTAGCCAGGAGTGATAAAGGTCATTAGCAAAAAGCAGCAACGTCCATTATCACACCAGTAGCTTGGTGAAATCCATATTCCTTTGATTGCTCCATCTTCTCACTTTGACTCTAGATACCGTCTTACTTGAGGGCTCTATAATACATTATTTGCTCTCTTTTAATATTTATTTTTTAAAGAAGTCTATCCAGTTCACACTATGTCCTCAAAACAATTTGATAAGATGAGGCCATTGGCAGTTGCATGCTCAAGTCTCCATGTGTCATATGGGGCCTACAGTTGTTGAAAGGGGTTCTTGATGTGGTTAGTATACAGGTTAAAAAAAATTCTCTAATAACCAATTATGAGGGCTACCCACATTTTAAACATAGCATTTATTAATATTAACATTCTGGTAGAAGTAATTTCCTCTCTTGCCATTTATATGTGAAGCTGAGCTGGCACCCAGTCTCTCTGATGCAAGTGAACAAGGAACAATGTAGTGTGTCCTTCCAGTCTTTTGGGCAAAGAGGGGAAAGCTATTTCTTTGCTTTCCCTTACCTCTCGATTAGTTTTGTATGCTGTTTCTGGTAGATACTTTTAGAACTTTGGTGAATTTTGTGTTAGTTGAGACATTTCTGTGTGAAAATGTGAAGGTATATTAAAATCAGTGATATAAAAATTTGACTTTTAAAGAATCTGAACAAGCAGGAGAGAACATAAAAAGAGCAGCAGTCTGCATCTACTGGAATATATACGGCGGAACAACAAGTTCTTTCCACAGAGGCAATGCCTGTTATGTGGACAGAGACCCAAGAAGAGTTATACACAGTTGGGTCATTTGCTGGAATATGTAAACAGGTTATGTGGGTTCCATCTCTTGAATTCAAATAGTTCTAAAGTGATTTTCTCCTTTGAATTTTAAATCCTGACCTGAAAGAGGTAGAAACAGCCTGGGTACTTCCTGCTACAGCAGTTTAGAGTAAGAGAGAGTATGAAGATGCCTAATGCAGTTCAACTTTCTACCACAGAGCCCTCAGAGACTTCAAAAGTCTTGGCACAGAATTCAGCAGTGCTCATCTTTGTGAGGTATCTGATGTGCCAAAAGGACATAAAAGTTCTCCACAATTTTCCTTTCTAGCTTTCCATTAGCCAAACGTGAGCTATTCTTCAGACTTCCATGACCCCAGTCTATGGACTCAACTGCCATAGAGTTGGGCCTCCCATTTTCTGTGATTCAGGTTGACCACCTTCTTCTCATCACGTCTTTCTCCTAGAAAAGTTTAAAGCAGTTAATGGGTTTTCAGTTTATGGAATTTTGATCATGTTGCAGTATTGCCTCTCTCATGCTCACGTACACAATAAACTGCTCATGATTTCTTAACTTTTTAATTACTCATTTACAAAATCTTGATTTACTCTGCAGTAGGTTGACGGCATCCATTTTGCCTGTTTTGAGTAATTTACAAGAAGCCTTTTCCAAGGAGTGATTAACCTTGTTGGGTAAAGAAAGAAGGGATAAGCAGAAACTCATCAAACCTTATGCCTGAGCATAGATTGAAGGAAAAACAGGAATTTTCCAATTAGCTGGCGTGCAGGACATTCCAAATGGAAGAATTAAAGGCATGGAGGTGTTGCATAGTGTGGTAAGTACAGAGAACTACTTAGTTGTGTTGTTAGAGCCTAATGGGCAAAGAGAGATGCCACCTTGGAGTGATGTATATGACATGGCCAGAAGTATGAGCTAAATCTGATAATAGGGAATGAGCCCTGGATGGTTTTAAGTAGGAAAAATGACATAATTAGACTTGTATTTTAGAAAGATCTTTTAGGATGGAGAGAAGAAGGTAAGGTTGTAATATTCAAATGGAATAGCTTAGTGAAGTGAGGCTTAAACCGTGGCCAGAGTGAATTTTTTGTTAAATGTTGACCAAATTATGTGATTTCCCCTGCTTAATATCCTCTCAATGACTTCTCTTCACATCTAGAATAAAATCCGACTCCTTAAATAGCCTGCATGGGCTCATCTCTCCTGCTTCTTTAGTCTTTCATCTGGCTGGCCTCTCACTCCTTCAGGATGCTGCTTTCTGTCGTTTAAGCACACCAACAGTACTCCTGACTCAGGCTTTTAAGGTGCTGTTCCTTCTGCCTGCAACACTCTTCCTCCAGGTCTGCACATAGACGCTTCCTTCTTACCAGTTGGGTCTCAGTTCTTCTGTCACCCCAACAGCCTTTCTGTAACTGGTGACACCCAGTTACTCCGTATCACATTACCCCATTTAATTTTTTTCATAGCACTTACCAGCATCTGCAGTTTTTCCTTTCTCCTCCGCCTCTCCCCAACTAGTGTGTAAGTACCTTGAGGGAAGGATCTTATCGGTCTTGTTCACTGCCTAGAAGAGTGCCTGGCACCAGTAGGTGTTCAGTGTATATTTGTTGACTGACATTCTTTTTGTTTTAATTTTTTGTACCTCTTTAATGAATTAATTTAGCATTGATTTTAAGCTAAAAGAGTATTATTATGAAGAATATCATAGTAATATATTTGGTATTCCATTCCTTCTCAATATCAAATTCCCTTAAGATTTAGAAACCGCTACATATTATCTTTAAATTTTATTTATTTGTATCTATAGTTTTTGTTCTGGACTGGTAGCTTCTATTCTGGGAACACCAGCTGATGTCATCAAAAGCCGAATAATGAATCAACCACGAGATAAACAAGGAAGGTACATAGAAAGTCTTCAGTATCCATGTGTTTGAATGTCTGTTGTAATACTGTTCTTTAGAGATGCTTCCCTGTATTTATTCTTGATAGAAATGTATTTGTGTGTTTATGTGTTCAACCAGGAAATTGTTTTTATGCAATTACCTGCTCTTTGTCTGATGGAAAAGTACTGTGCATTTTTAGGGAAATAAGCTGATTTAACCATCATATTATTTAGACACAAGGTATTTATTGTGACTTTATTGTTTCCAAAGAGTTTTTGAAAACATACTCTGCTGAGAATTTACAAAGCACTTTCTTCAGAAGCTTATGACTTACAGGTAACATGGAGAATTTGATTTGATATAAAACAGTATGTTCTCTCTGGAAGAGATCAGGTAGAGTGAATTCTAAGTATAAAACTGAGGGTGGGATGAATCAGAAGAGTCAACTTTGAAAATATCTTTAAACTTAAGAGGTGATCTATATATACAAAACCACAAATATTATCTGTTCTAATCTAGCAGAAAATATTTAACTTATCAGAAGTTTCCTTAAACTGTTTTTTATTTATATTTTATTTATACATCATTTATACACAAGAAATTTAATAAAATTGTTTTGCTTCCTTTTTAGGGGACTTTTGTATAAATCATCAACTGACTGCTTGATACAGGCTGTTCAAGGAGAAGGATTCATGAGTCTATATAAAGGCTTTTTACCATCTTGGCTGCGAATGGTAAAGTTAGGTTTTTTCCTTCCTTGGTTTTTGTTTTCTTTGTACTTAAATTACTTTTAATCTGTAAATATTTTCCCTTTTCTCTTCTGGTGTTTGGCATGGCCCTGCCCCCAAACCACACTTCTTTGTTTCTTTTTTATATCTCTTTTGTTTTCTTTTACCTCTCCTCAGAATCATATTACCTTCCTTGGTAGATTAAGGTGAAAATAATTCAGTTCCATCCAGAAATGAATAGGTTGATATTCTGTTGTTATAATGCCAGTGGATAGATTTTCTGCCATATAAACCCTTTAATAGTCTATTTAGCCAAAATTTTGTAGCTGGGGACAGGTATACAGATTTTATACCAGAGACCATTATTATGAAAATGTTACTGTTTCAAACAAAATCTGTTACTTTAATGGCAAATGTTGCGTTACCAATTAATACTTATTAGCACAAAGCTCTGCTTAGTAAGAAAGCATTATGTCATTTTTATTTCATTTGGATTTTTTACTGAAGTGAACTAAGATGTAGAATTAGATAGACTTATTTAAGTAATATAACAAATGTAATAAAAACAAGGTACTCAAGTATTTTGTAAGTTAGAAAATATTTGAAAGAATGAATGCGTTATAGGTCTAGACATTCCAACAATCAATACTTTACACAATCCAATACAATAATATGAACTGAGCACCTACTCGCTGGAGAGCCCTGTACTAAATGCCTGGCTCTGGGATGAACAGAAGAGTCTCAGCCCCTGCTCTCCTGCTGGAGCTTCCAGTCTGGGTGAGGGAAAACAGTGGATAAGTGTGGAATGGTAGGGGGAAAGTGCATGCTGCTCTGGAAAGATATAGCAAGTAAGTGCAGCCTAGGCTGGGAGATGAAGAAAATCTCCTTGGAAAATGGACTTTTGAATTGAAATTTGAAGAGTGAGTATAACTTAGCCAGGTAAAAAGGGCAGAAAGGAACATTCTAGGTAGAGGGAATAGTTGGAGTATATTTATACAGAAATAATACAAATATTTATACAGAAATAATAAAGCTAATGTTACTGATTTACTTGGTATATGGCCAACACTGTGCTAATCATTTTTATGGCTTACCTCATTGAATTCTCCCAACAATCTTTTTAGTAGGTTACTCTCCTCTCTCTCTTTTATAGAGGAGGAAACAAAAGCTTAAAGAGTTTCAATAACCAGGCCAGGTTAGGTGGTTATGAACTAATGGAGTCAGGGCATCCAGCCCAGGCAGTCTGACTCCAGAGGACGTAGTCTTAGTGAGGAGGTTATATTAGTGCTCCGCCAGTGGTATGAGCAAAACGCTGTGGGAACACGGACAGTGGAGTGAAACTGGCTTTAGCTGTTTGGGAAGAAACAGCAGCCTTCACAGAGGTGACATTTGATATGAGCTTTGGAGGATCAGTAGGTGTTTGTCAAGAAAAGCATGAGGGGGCAACATGAGCATAGGCGTCAGGTCATGTGTGGGCCTCGTATGTTTGGAGAACCACAGACAATTCAGTGTGGCTGGAGAATAGGTCCTCGGGGGAGGTGGTGGGAGAGAGTCCTAGAGGGGTACTCAAGGACTACGTTGAGAAGGACCTTGTGGGGTGAGTTTGGTAGTATAGGTGTAACCCTATAGTGAGCAAGCAGCTACTTAAATGTGGAAGCAATGTGCTAAGATTTGTTTGGGGACAAGATTACTTTGGCAGCAATACAGAAGATACATTGAAAGCTAGGACAGAAAAGGAAGTTTTGGCAGTGGTCTAGCCAGGAGATGCTTGTAGAAATGGAAAGAAGATAGATTCTAGGGACATTTATGGTTAACTCCACAGGACTTAGTAACTGATTATATGTAGAAGGTGAGAGAGGGAAAGAAGGAAATGGGACTTATAGGTTTCTAGTGTGGGAGACCGTGAGGATGGGTGAGACCATTGATGAAAAACAAAATCAGGGTCAGGAGGGGTGAGGGACAGGGAGGATATTCAAGTACAAAGGAATACTGAGACCACTTAGTCAACCCATTTTCTTTATCCATGAGACTCAAGAAGTATAAATGACCAAAAAAAAAAAAAAATTGAATACTTAATACATGACCAGCACTGTGCTAAGCTCTTTACACACATTATTTTTTTAAAGTCTTACGAGAACCTAGTAAAACAGGTGGTGTTAGCCTCATTTTTCAGATGAGAAAACCATGGCTCCGAGTATAAGAAACTTGCTCAAGTTCATATAGCTAGAATGTGGCAGAGCTAGGAACTGACTGCAGGTCTGTTCAACTCTAAACCCATGCTCCTAATACAGAAGACTGAGTTTCTCTAAATCCTACAGCTAGTTATAGAAGTTTTAAAAGAAAAGAGACAGTGTGGGGTGATGGAGAGAGATTACCACAGAAAGACTGGCTAACTACCAAAGATCACCAGGGTGGCACTGCCTTGTTGATTTGCTACACTGCATGACGTGGAGCTTAAAAACCTGACTCATGAACACTTCCAAGTAAACTGACCTTGCAAATACAGATTCACTTCAGCTGAACTCATTGAAACTGATGATTAGACCACAATATCGGCTCATTCACATGGAGAAACACACTTAGCAAGTGACCCAGATGCTGAAGTCCTCTGGACAGCATGCTTCCTCCTAAATTCAAGTTATGTGGGGAACCAAGTTATAATCAGAAGGTTGCTTGCTGAACACAGAATAACAACAGGAAGAGCTTATTTGTAAACTTAATATTTAAGAGTATCAACCCATGAGCCCTTTGTGTTCAACTCCACAGTTAATAGGCATGAAGAAGGACTCCACCAGTAGTTACGGCAGCAGGCAGATCAGAGAAGAAAACATGAGTTCACATACACTTGGATCATTTTCAGTGGTACAACTATGCCAGTGAGGAAAAAAGAAGTAAACGTGCACTACCCACATGAGCCCCTGCACAGAGGCTCAATATATCCCATTTATAGACTACCCATGTTATTTGGCTATATGATCTCCCTCCTTAAATTCTATTCAAAACCCAGCTAAACTCCATCCCAATCCCATCCACTAAGTAGAGGTAGCTTTGCTCAATCCCTGATTAATATTTATTTCATTTCCATATAGTTTAGTTGCTATGTCATTAACATGAGGAGAAAGTCTGATTATCAGAGCTATTAGGAATGATTGCATAGTCCATTCTTAACTAAGACCTCTGCTCCTTGATCCGATTACAGTTATATCCTTGGCTCACTCATTTTTGTTGTCACAAGAATATTGTATTGTCACAGCTTCAGATTCTTTATTTTGTCTATGTCTTCATACATCTAACTGACCAAGATGTGTTCTCCTAAATCCACTATTTAGTAAATTCTCATCTACCAATATAACATGCTCACTATTTCCAAACATGTATGACATGCATATTGCTTTACAAACTCTCTAACCAAATAATTTTTACATCTAGTTGCTTAAGCTTATTTTTCTAATATGATAGAGTTTCTCTCTGATCAACATTACCCATCACCTATGAACTAAACCAGACAGGAACTGGATCCAGGATGCCCTGTCTCTGATGGTTAATTCCAATGTTTACTCTGTGATTTTCCTCTGTGTCTGTAGCATTTATATCTTCTATTGTTGAATAAAACTCATCCCCTTATATATAATTCCTTTTGGTACAGTTACACGTTCATTCAAGTTAGTCAACTCTTTCTGAGCTGGAAGCTCTTTTCTCTATTTAATGTGAATTTTTATATCCATTTTGTGATAACATCAGGTGTTGGTTTTATGAAGTAACTTTTAAAAGATAATGTTTTATCTTCACTTTCAAGTTCTTAAGTGCCTCCTTGTCATGCTCCATATAAAACTACAAGTAGAGGAGCCCCGCCTAGAATTCAGGCATGCTGAGCCCTACCCTTTTAGCCAGTAATGGTTCAGTAAAAAGAACTGTGGAATAGAAGCTAGAAGCCCATGGTCTACCTCCACAACATGCTAACAGGCATTTGATTGCTAAGCCTCAGTGTCCTCATCTGTGAAATAGGGATATCAACAGCTTTCCTTTCTATTGTAAATTGTGCAGAGAAATCTGTGAGAAATGTAAGACATGAAAAAGCTTTGTAAATTATAAAGTGCTTTACAAAGGCAAAATGCCAAAATATTTGTTTTCAGCCTAAGTGGATTCAAAATGACTTCATCATTCAAAGATGTGTATGTATATGTGTAGAATATCTATAATTGCTTTGAAATATGCACTAACTTCTTTGGTTAATCTTTCAGACCCCTTGGTCACTGGTGTTCTGGCTTACTTATGAAAAAATCAGAGAGATGAGTGGAGTCAGTCCATTTTAAGCCCTTAAAGATGCAGCCCTTAAAGATACAGTGTTCAGTGTCATTGAAATATGGGCATCTGCAACACACCGCCCCTATTATTTCTACCTCTTTAGGAAGACACCTTACTCCACAGAGACTGTGATTTATAGGGGGCAGCACTTTATTTTTCTCTGGAAACCCGAGTTCTCTTTGACTCCTCTTTTTGTTCAAAAGCAATCTGGTTGGATCACACAAGATGAGACCCAGCACAGCATTTTCTAGACAAGAGTTGAATCCTGACCACTTACCTTGGGGGAGAAGACTTGACCTTTGAGATGCTATTCTATGCTGAAGAGCCTGCTTAGAGGAGTGCCAGAGGGAGACAGCATCTCAGACCTGGAGTAAACAACAGGAACGTGGGAGAATTCATACATACATTGTGATTAAGAAATATATATTTAATCTATGTCAGTATTTACAATTGAAATTTGATAATTCACTTTTCTGTTGTTCGAGTATACATACTGTAAATTAAATGAAGGTGAATGCAAATTCATGAATAAACATTTTGAATTTCCCTAGTGTTGAAGGAAGTTGATGCACCTTTTCTTGCAAGGAGGATGAAAAAAAATCAAGTTGAGATGATGTCTGAATTTCAAGGAAAGAAGCTGCTTTCTTTCAGTGCCCCATCATGAGTTAGATCTGTGTTCACTCGTTAGCACTCCACTGCACGTGCTAAGGACTTCTCGACAGCTGCAGACTCTGAATCTTGATGAAAACAGAGAAGAGTATTTGCTTTGTTACATATCCCCTTACAAGTTGGATTTGTTGCTAGCTCTCAAGAATCTCAATATATAAAAAAATGCAACTTAATTGATTAAAGCTCCAGTGGATAGGTCCTTTTTATAAAACAACTTCTGTTGTCATCAGCCTTCCAGTGGCATCTTAAAAGCAAGGCTGAGAGGAAGTCAACCAATTCTGACATGGAACCTTTTTATGTCCCCTTCCCTAACACTAAGGGCCCTAGAGAGAAAGAGGATCAGGAGTCACACTGGAGTTGTCTCTAGCCTGAGTCTTGTTCATTCTGACAAAGCTTTCTGCCTAAACGTGATAACTATAAACTGTCCATGGTATACAGTTTTGTCTCCAATCACTGAATCACATCCCTTTTATTATTTTAGAAAGGTGAAAGATTTCTTCAGATTCACCTATATACCACCTGCTCCCCAACCTCAGACAATGGGCATTTCTGGATGGACAGCTACAGTTATGGGTTGAGGCTGTAACTGTCAAAATAGGAAAATTCAAAAAGCTCAGATCCAAGAAAGACCTTGGACCTGACCAAATAGGATTTATCATGGACATGGATGATGTTGAACAGAAAAAAGTTTACAAGTGCTCTGTGGCTGCACTAATACATAATCACTGCCATTTCAGAGAGGAGGTATACTTTAAAACATATTTTAATGTGATGTACTAATACACAGTGGCTTATTGTTTTTCTATAGAATTTGAAGAATGTGGACTTTAATCTCTTAAAATCTTTAGGTGGTCTACTTTTCCATTGCATTTGTCAATCTGTATGAATTGAGTTGTTAAATATATTTAAAATAATATCATGTACTTAACTTCCCAAGCGTTCTGCATTGGAATCATTTGGGGAACTTTTGGTTTTTTATGTTTTAGAATTTTTAAAATTAAGTAAAGTTTGGATCAAAATAATTATATGCAAACTGGACTATGAAAAAATTTATTTAGCTTTACTCTTTGAGAGGCTTGGGGGGAAAACATTGCTTAAGTACTGAGACTCTTCCTTGGTATCTAGATTGAACATGAATAATTGGAATTTTTTAACCTGAAGTGACACCTTGGGATCACCTGGTTTAACCCTCTCATTTTACATGTTAGGAAACTGAAGCCCAGAGAAGTAGAGTTGTTCATGCTCATAAGTTACTTAGTAGCAGAGCCATGATAAAAAGACAGATCTCCTCATTATTATTACAACCGACAGTTACTGCACACTAGTTAGGTATCGAGTAAAATGCCTTATGTCATCTTCACAACAACCCAGTCCAATGCTCTTGAGTCTTCCAAAAACAGATTTTTTTCTGTATGGCATTTTTTTGTCTTATGCATTTTAAATGAATCTGAATAGCCTTCATCATCAATTTCAGAAGGGAGTCATCGTGCTTTAGCTTGAACGTTAAGACCGTCCATAATCTGACCAAATCCTGTATGGCCAACACATGTATCTCATCACATTAATACTTTCCCAGTGAAATCACATTCATTAATGTATCTTGGAACTTTGCTTTATTTTTATCAACTTGAAATCATCTTGTTCCTCTCCAAAATAATCCAAAGTAAATAAAAAGGAATAAAACTTTTAGTAATTTTGTGTCCATACTGAAAGACTTAACCATTTCAATCTCACTTTCTTATTAATACTACTACTGTATGTGATATTTATCTGCAGCTTGGTATTGATAACACTTAATATCTAAGTTTCTTTTGCTTAGCTTCCACATTTTTTTCTCTCCCCAAATGATTTTTTTCTCATTAAAAAATATATATATTCTTATTTTTAATTATATACAGTTCTTTGTTCTTTATATGTATCAGTGAATTAGCATATATATCTAAATAAAGAGATAACCTTAAATTTGCTTTTAGTAAGGAATGTGTCTTTATCAAGTGTTGCAAATACTATTTGATTATAAGCTAGTAGTGGATAAGACCATGCCTTGTTTTTATATAAATCTCTACTCTTATTAATAGCATTTCTTTGCTGTTGAATCCTCAACCAAAATTGATTATAGTTATATGTAACTATATAATGAATTAACTAACTTAGTCTTCATTATTTTAAGAATCTGTGACTATCACAAGACTAGTCTGACATTTCTTTCACTTTGCTAAGAAAAAAAGGAAATAAATTGAGGGAGGTTTTAAATGTAAAAATATTTGCTGTTCCATCATCTTCAAATTCTCAAGCACAATCATTTATTTACAATTGAAATAGTTATATCTTCATGAAAACAGATTCCCTCAGGTCCTCCATAAGAAAAATCTTTTAATTTTAATACTTGATGGTTAAAAAAATTGGGGGGGGAATATTCGATTCTTTTCTCCCCATTTAAACTGAGACTCTTTAAAGATAATTACCAAATATAATTATTAAATGCTAGGTCATGTGGAGGAAAGACTGAACGTGAATTCTAAAGACCTTTATCCTATTTTAGGCTCTACTTCTGACAAAGGATTGTATCTGTGCTCAAGTCCCTTCACTTCTCTTGATTTCTGTTTCTTTATAAGATTAAGTGATTGAACCCTAGAATCTTAACTTGCATAAACTTGAAGGGTGCCATTATATTGATGTGAAAAAAATGGGAATTTTTAAAAAATTTATTGGGATTTGTTTTTTCTTGGATTTAATTAATTTCTTATATTTCAAGATTGGGGAAAGTTTATTCAGGCATTAAAGTGTAATACAAACTTTGTATATGGCTAGCCTGTCTCACGCAGAAATCCATCCTTCACTGAGTAGCAGAGTTATCTTCCTGCAGGCAACTCTGGGCACATCACCCCATATTCTTACCTTCAACTTCTTCATACACACACAATAAAAATTAAAATCTTTAATACTATATCCAAGACCCTCTCAATCTGACTTCAACCCATTTTTCTAACCTTTCCATTTCACTGCATACCTGCACTCTACCTCCTTGCAAATGCACTGCTCCATTTATTTCTCTGGAGATGCTCTTCACGTGGCTCCTTTTTATGCAGTATTCATGCTGTGCTCGCCACCTAACTTTCCTCCCATCACTACCACCATTCATCTTCATTTTCGCTGGTTAAGTCCTACTTTAATATCTAGAATGATCTCTGAAGACTTCAACATCTTCAGCACCTCCGTGCTCCCCTAGTTTCCCCTACTGCGGATGTTTGTCTGTCTGTATGTATGGATGTATACCTACTTCCCCTATACAGGATGAACTGCTTGCAAGCAAGTAATACATCTCTGTATCTCTTATAAACTTCAATAGACGCCAATTAAAAAGTATTTGTTGAATTCAGAGATTTTTGGGGGGTGGAGAGAGAAAAACATTTATGTACACACGATTAAGTCATATGCAATTTTCTGTCTACCTTCAGAATAATTAAGTTGGGTCAGTAACACTTGATCTCATGACATTCTTTACCATATTAAGTGCTTAACTGCATTTTCAAAAGAGCATGTGTGTTTAAACATGTAGTTATAATTTTAAGAAGTATTATCTGCATCAGTTTAATGGCTATAATTCCACAAAAATCTAGAATTTGATAGTTTTAAATAATACAAAATATTTGGTTAATTGATTAATAGTTAATAAATAAGAAATGAGTTTGTATTCTTCATTTTAGAGTGTATATGGAAATTAAATTACTCTTTTGGCCTTCACTGATACCATAAAAATGCACATTTTACCCACTCAAGTGTTTTATTATTTCTGAGTTTTGAGGAATACATGATTATTTTTCTCTCCCCATACTTTACCCCCAACAGGCTGCTGTGATTGTCAGCAGCAGCAGGAGCCACTTTGAAGGTTTGATAAAAGCAGATGAAGATGCTTAAAGATGTCTGTTTGCTGAAAATATCTGGTAACAGGAATATATGTGAGTAAATATAGTGCATTATTCTGATTTTTAAAATAAATGTTTTAAAATGCCTAATTGGTTGTTAAGGGTTTTGTTTTGTCTTGGTGCATTTTTGACTTAAAATGGTAAATTTAGAGATGATTTTTAATTCTTAATCTTTTCACAATTGAAATAAAAAGTGGCCTAATTTATAATGTCAGATTTGAAATATTAGCAAAAAGGACACTCATACCTTGTCGCTATAAATTTTATTTTATACATATTCCCTGTTACCCAGTTCTGCTCTGATTAAAAAGATGGATAACTAATAATTACAGTGATAGACATGCTCACTGGCTAAGGATAGAAGAGGAAAATAAATTAGAATTACTTTAAACATTGGAAAATTCGCCCTTTTTGGATATCATGTTTTACTTTGATTTCCACTACACTATCCCTCCTGTCACTTATATTTTTCATTACTACTTTTCAGTCTCTATTTGCTGTTTCTTTGCTGCCAAGTCCTTAAATTTTGGTTCTTCAACATTCTCTTCTTGGCCCTCTTCTCAATTTTCACTCTCTCTAGGAAGAGCCACACATTTTTGTGACTTCAGCTCCTGCACTTAGGCTGGTAATTCCCAAGTATATAATTGGCACTCAGTAAATGGTAGATATTACCATCGTCTGTGTTTCTGATCGTTACTCATTTCTCAAGCTTTAGTCATGTTTTCTCAGTTGCCAACTATATATCAGGTTGGGCCACAGTCCTTATGAGCTCAAATTTCCCAATATTAAATCAGTATTTTTTATAACAATCCTTCCTCCCTACCCTTTAAAATCTGCTCTTCCTCCGGGATTTTCTGTTGTGCTACAAACCCAGTACTGCAGCCAAGAAACCTCAGAACATCCTTGACTTCTCATTCGTTTTACTTATTGTCTAGAATGCTTAAATCCATTTATAAAAAATAAAACTACAGACCAGTGTCTCTTATGAAAATAGATGCAAAAGTCCATGAGCAGCACTTCACACTCATTAGGATGGCTATTATTAAAACACATACACACACACACACAAAGAAAATAACAAGTGTTGGTGAGGATTTGGAGAAACTGGAACAGTACATTGCTACTGAAAATATAAAATGGTGTACCTGCTATACAAAATAGCATGAGAGTTCCTCAAAAAATTAAACATAGAATTATCATATGATCCAGCAATTCCATTTCTAGTATATACCCAAAAGAATTGAAAGCAAGGACTTGAACAGATATATGTACACCAATGTTCATAGCAGCATTTTTCACATAGCTGAAAGGTGGAAACAACCCAAATGTCCATTGATGAATGGATGAATGGATAAACAAAATGTGGTATATGCATACAATGGAATATTTTTCAGCCTTAAAAAGGAAGAGAATTCTGAGACATGCTATAACATGGATGAATCTTGAAAACATTATGCTGAGTAAAATAAGCCAGACACAGATGGGCACATATTGTATGATTCTACTTACATGCAATACCTAGAATAATCAAATTCATAGAAACAGAAATTGAATAGTGGTTAGCAGGGGCTGGAATGGGTAGAATGAAAAGTTAGTGTTTAATGGTACAGAGTTTCAGTTTGGGATGATGAAAGGTGCTGGAGAGAGTGGTGATGGTTGCACAACAATGTCAATGTACTTAATGTCACTGAACTGTACACTTAGAAATGGTTAAAATGGTAATTTTTATGTATATTTTACTACTATAGAAAAAATTGGAAAAAAAATTTAAAAATCCATGAGTATAGGGCCGGCCCTGTGGCTTAGTGGTTAAGTGTGCGTGCTCCGCTACTGGCGGCCCGGGTTCGGATCCCGGGCGAGCACCGATGCACCGCTTCTCCGGCCATGCTGAGGCCGTGTCCCACATACAGCAACTAGAAGGATGTGCAGCTATGACATACAACTATCTACTGGGGCTTTGGGGGAAAAATAAATAAATAAAAAATTATTAAAAAAAAAAAAAATCCATGAGTATAGATGTAAAAAAATATTAGCAAATTTAATTCACGATTATAAAAAAGATAATACATCATACCTAAGTGGGGTTTATCGCAGGAATACAGGTTGGTTCAACATTCAAAAATCAGTCAATATAATTCAACTTTTTAACAAACAAAAAGAGAAAAAAACATGTCATCTCAATAGAATGTGAAAGGGTATATGACAAAATTCAATATCCTTTCATGATAAAAGTTCTCAACAAACTAGGAACAGAAGGGAACTTCCTCAACCTGATAAACGGATCTAAGTAAAACCTATAGCTAACATCACACTGGTGAAAGACTGAAGGGTTTCACCTAAATCAGGAACAAGACAAGAGTATCCATTCTCACCATTCCTATTCAAAACTGTATTAGACGGCTTAGCCATTACAATGAGGCAAGAAAGAGAAATAAAAGGCATATATATTGGAAAGGAAGACATAAAACTGCCTTTATTCATAAATGATATAATTGTATGGAAAGTGCCAAGGAAGCTACCAAAAAAGCTACTAGAATTAATAAGTAAGTCTTAGCAAAGTCACAAGATATAACGTCAATATACAAAAATAAATATATGGCTATAATAGCAGTAAAAAATTGGAAAATAAAATTAAAAAAAAATCATTTACAATAACATCAAAACACAAGAAAACCTTAGAGATAAATCTAACAAAATGTGTGCAAGACTTGTTCACTGAAAACTACAAAGCATTGCTGAGAGAAAGTAAAGAAGACCTCAATTAATGGAGAAAGAAACCGTGTCCATTGACTGAAAGACTCAATATTGCTCAGAAATCAATTCTCAAATTGATCTGTATCTACAATGCAGTCCTAATAAAAATCCCAACAGGTTATCTTTTCTTGCAGAAATTGACAAGTGTATTCTAAAATGCATAAGGAAAAGCAAAGACCTTGAATAGCCTAATGAGGAAAAAGAACGAAGTTGAAGGACTCATATTACCTAATTTCAAAGTTGACTTTTAAGCAGTTTAAAACAACAATAATTAAGATAGCATGGTATTGGCATAAAGATAGATATACAGAAGAGTGGAACAGAATAGAAAGTCAAGGAATAGAACCACTCACATATGGTCAACTAATTTTTGGCAAGTGTGCCAAGGTAATTTATAATCAGGAAAGTATAGTCTTTGCTACAAATGGCACTATAATAATTGGACATCCATTTGCAAAAATAAAACCCTCAATCCTTCTCTCACAACATATACAAAAATTAATTCAAAATGGATCACAGAACTAAATACAAGAGCTAAAATTCTAAAACATCTAGAAGAAAACTTTGACATTTGTTTTTAACCTTGCTTTAGGCAAAAATTTCTTGGGACACAAAACCTACCACCTAGAAAAGAAAAAAATATGTGAATATGTGAATAACTTGATTTCATCAAAATTACAAACTTTGTTCTTCAAAGACACTATTAAGAAAATGAAATGACAAACCATACCCTGAGAGAAAATATATGCAGAACACAGATCTGATAAAGGACTTGTATCCACAATATATAGGAACTCTTACAACTCAAAAATAAGGTGACACGCAACTCCTTTAAAAATGGACAAAGGAGTTGATCAGATACTTCACCAAAGAAGGTATATGATGGCAGAAAAGCACATGAAGAATGTTCAACATCATTAGAAAAATAGAAATTAAAACCACAATGAGATACCACTACAGAACACAGGAATGGCTAAAATGAAAAAGACTGACAATACCGAGTACTGACGAGGGTGCAGAGCAGCTCATATGTTGTTGGTAGGAATGCAAAATGACAGTTATTTTGGAAAATAATTTGACAGTTTCTTATAAAGTTAACATATATTTACCATATGACACAGCAATCCCACTCCTAGTATTTAACCAAGAGAAATAAAAACTTATGTCCACACAAAGACATGTATATGAATATTTACAGAAGCTATATTGATGATTACCAAAAACTGGAAACAACCTGAAAGTCCACTATTTAGTGAATTAAGGTGGTATGTCTATACAATGGAAAACTATTCAACAATAAAAATAAACGTGATACAGACACCATGGATGAATTCGCAGGCATTATGCTAAGTGATGAAAGTCAGACACAAGAGACTACAAACTGTATGACTCCATCTATATGATGTTCTGGAAAAGGCAAAACTATAGGGACAGAGGTTGCCAGGGACAGTGGTTGCCAATGGTTGCCAGGGACTGAACCCACAAAGGGGATAGGGGATCGACTGCAAAAGGGCATAAGGGAACTATTTGGATAATGCAAATATTTTCTATTTTAGCTGTGGTGGTACATTTACGATTGCATACGTTTGTACATTTGTGGTGCTGTGCATTTGCATTGTATACAAATGCATACTGTATACTATATACAAATGTATAGCTGTGTACATTTGTCAAAACATCATCAAACTGCACAATAAAAGGGTTTTACTATATGTAATTTATGCCTCAATAAACCTAATTTTTAAAAAGTTTAAGATTTTTTAATCTTTCAGAGAACTGTTTTAAATTTTTATTTTATTCAGTGTTACAAATAACTATAATTTATTATATGTCTACTGTGGTAGACCTTTTACCTATATTGGGTCATTTAATCTTCATAATAAAGTTAAGTAAAATTCCATTTTTATAGATGAGGAAACAAACTCAGAAAAGTTCACTGTCCACGTCACCCTGAGGTAAGAACCAGGGACTTTCGAAATCTAAAGCCTTTGCTTTTTCCACTATGTTTTGTTGCGTCTCAAGTATTTATTTAATGCATACATGTTAACCGGACTCACATCAGTTCATGCCTCAGAACCACGTGTCCTTACATTCACTTTCAGATATGGAAACAAGAGGATAGATAATTTGCCTTGGCTTGCTCTTTCTACTCTAATTGTCCCCCTATAATGTCATAGTCTTGAATTATTTGTGTGTGTGTATGTGTGTATTCTAATAAAACTTTAGTTATGGACACTAAAATCTGAGTTGCATAGAATTTTTTTTAAACTTTTAATTTTGAAATAATTTTAGATTCACATAAAGTTGCAAAAAATGTACAAGGAAGTCCCAGGCACCTTTCACCTAGTCCTCCCCGATGGCAAGACTTTGCATAACTGTAGTACACAATCAAAACCAGCAAAGTGACATTGGTGTAATTCACAGATTCAGATTTCACCAGTTTTATAAGCACGTGTGTGTGTGTGTCTAATGCTGTGCAATTTTATCCCCTTTGTGAGCTTCATGTAACCATCACCATATTCAAGATACAAAACAGCTGCATCCCAAGGCTCCCTCATGCTCCCCTCTTTATAGCCACTTATCTTCTCTCCCCTCATCCCTAATGCCTGGCAACCACTAATCTGTTCTCTATCTCTATACTTCCGTTGATTCAAGAATATTATAAGAATGAAATCATACAGTATGTGACCTTTTGGGATATATATATATTTTTTCACTCAGCATAATTCCCTGAGAGCCCTCCAAGTTGTTGCATGTATCAACAGTCCATTTCTTTTCCTTTTTATTGCTGACTTGTATCCAATGGCATGAATGTACCACAGTTTGTTCAACCATTTACCCATTGAAGGACATTTGGGTTGTTTCCAGTTTTGGGCTTTTAGGAATATAACTGCTATAAACATTTGTGTACAGGTTTTTACATGAATATAAGTTTTCGTTTCTCTGGGATAAATGCCCAAGAGTGCAATTACTAGGTCATATGGCAAGTACATATTTAGTTTTTAAAAAGTGGCTGTACCATTTTACATTCCCACCAGCAATGAGTGATCCAGTTTCTCCACATTCTTGTCAGTGTTGATGTTATCGCTGTTTTTAGTTTAGTCATTATCATAGGTTTGTACTGATGTACGATTGTGGTTTTGTTTTTCCCTAATGGCTAATGATGTTGAACACCTCTCCATGTTCTTCTTGCCATTTGTAGATCCTCTTCAGTCAAATGTCTGTTCGTATCTTTTGCCCATTTTCAAATTGGACTTTTTTTTTTACTGTTGAGTTTTGAGAGTACTTAGTTATATATTGTAGGTACAAGTCCTTTGTCAGACATGTGGTTTGCAAATATTTTCTTCCTGTCTTTTCTCTTGGCTTGTCTTTTCATTCTCTTAACAGGGTATTTCTCACTTGAATAATTTTTTTAAAATATTTATTGAACAGTAATTTTCTAAGGAAGCATCTTTAAACAGGGCTAATAAGTGGTGTAAAGAAACTACAGACTCTAAAGTATACTGTGTTTCTGCTTAGAGTTCTCTATATATGGAGGTCTAAGGTAGCACGGAATAAATATGATTTATCTGTTTTACCCAATTTCCCTACATGTTGTTTCCATAAAAAAATTTTGAAATAACTCACAATATAGTCTCCCAATACCTCTCAGACGCATTTCATCTCTTTATCCTTTTCTCTTTTAACTCTTAAATGTTTACATTAGGATAAGATTATTCCCTCTCTCACCTTTTCCGAAGCCAAGGGCCTCTGAAGCCTAAAAGGAGGGAAATTTTTTTTTATGGAACTCAAGATATTTTGCTCAATAAATTATGGGAAATATATAGCAGGAGCTTAATCTTCACAGTGAAATGGTCTGTTTATTTAAGACAGAGCAAACTACCTACCCCAGACACAGGAGTGGTGGGACACTGAAAATACCAGGCTGGATGGGAGGAAAGGGCTCTGATCAGCCCATAATGGCCACATGATACACCCTGACATCCAAGATTAAAGGACCTGAGCCACGGAAGGGATTGAGGGACAAGTGAAATAGAAAACAGAAGTCACTTACCAAATCTACAACCCTGTGCTCTCTGTAAGAGTTTGGTTATACTGCTTTGAACTGAAATAGAGGATTAATTGAAATCTCCATTATTCCATGTGATGATCAAACAATCCCAAATGATAATAAGGCCATTTTATAATGAACTCCTTCCTTCCATCACAAGGGACATAGTGTCAGATTATCTACTTATTCTGTTGTTAAACATTTATTGCCTGCTGACTAAAAGTCCAGCACTGTGCTAGGCATTGAGAATGTAAAAATAAATGAGAAAAGTTCCTGCCTTCAAGAAGTTCACACTCTGGTAGAAAGGAGAAATGGTAAACAATTGCAAGATATGATGGACTATATAATAAAGGTTTGTAAAGGAGGAAATAATCAATTCTGCCTGGGTGAATAGTAGAGTCATGAGGAAGAGACACCTGAGCTAGATATGCTAGCTGTTTTTAAATCAAATGTTTAGTTTTCTTCCATCATGAATATGAAACATTAATTAGAGAAAATTTGGAAAATGAATTGAATTTTCAAGGATGAGTTTATTAAGTTAAAGTCTAACTTTTTAGAGAAATCAAATTCATTCTTTCATTTATTCATTCAGTGAGTATTTCTTGTCTCAGCCCCATGCTAGATTCCAGGAATGCAACAAACAGTTCTTGCCAAAAGGAGCTTGTAAGCTGGTGGGATGATCAAAGACAATTGCAACACAATGTGAACGTGCAAAGTAAAGGAGGCTTTGGAAGCAAAGGTCACCTTTAGGCTGGACAGACTGAAGACAGTGAGATTTACACTGTGAGGCCAGGGTTATATTAAGCATTGTCTTGACTTTATCTGTATTGTATTTGATGATATTTCAAAATGTGAAGGAGTGAAATGGAAAAGTATAAGAAACTCCTATGAATGTGTCTAACTTTGCAAATGAACAAAAATCTAATGCAGACATATCTCTGGGAGCCACTCACAGTTTGCCTGCACGTTTCCATTCCACTCCCTCCCCCTTGACAAATGGAGTCTTCTAAGGGTTACCTTAGATGGGGAAGAAGAACAAGAGTCCAGCCAAGAGGCTCTCTGCTATAGTAGATACAGCAACAGTTTGAAGTCACGTTTCTTCCATCGCTCGTGACCTCCTTTTATGAGTCCAGTTCTGTGCTAGCTCTGTAAGTAAATGAAGAATAAATGCCTGCAAAGCTGGGATGCCAGAGTTAGGCAAACAAAACAACAAAGAAACTCATACTGGGTAATTGTGCGGAAAGAAGCATTTAACAGTCTCCATGGAGACTCATACATTATTTTAACCCTCAAAACAACTCTCAATTCAGGTGACCAAACAGGTTCCTAGAAGAGAGGGTAAGCCACTCCCTCAAGGTCACTTCATTGAAGGAGCACCGGCAAACCCCGCCCCTGCGGTGCGCAAGCGCATTCGCACCGCCTGCGCCTGCGAGCACCCTGGGCCTTCGGAGACTCGGGCCTAAGGCCCAGGCATACGCGGTTGGCGTCTCCATTTCTGCTTCCCGTTTCCCCAAGGGCTGGCACCTTACCTGGCTCACAGGCTCCATTAGTATTAGCCGGACAGCCGAAACGGAAGTCACTTTCAGACCTGGCATCCCCTGCAGCCCTTTGCCAGGCCTTCACCCCCTCCTCCAGGGTGGCAGGCGCTCTGAGGAGAAGCAGGCCGTGTCCCAGTGCCGCCACTGCCGGGCCTTCTGAACGGCCCCCGAAGCCCCTTCCGGTCACCCCCGGCCCTGGCGCTTGGCCGGACCACGCCGGGGGCCCAGCGCCCTTCGACGCCCTCATAGGCCCGGCCCGCCGCCCGCGCCGGAAGG